CTGCGGGATTGTCTCGGTCTTGCGGGATTGTCCCAGTCTTGCGGGATTGTCTCGGTCTTGCGGGATTGTCCCGGTCTTGCGGGATTGTCTCGGTCTTGCGCGATTGTTCCGATCTTGCGGGATTGTCCCGGCCCCATGGAACTTTTAATAGGACCGCGATCAGGTTTTTTTGAAAATAGTCATGTATGGAGTAAAAAAATTTCTTTGAAAAAATATTTACGGGACCACGGGACCGGGACCGGGATCAAAACTTTTTTTCTTCACGGGACCGGGACCAAAAACGTTTGGTCCCGCAGACCTCTAATGCGTAGCTCTGGTATGTATGTCATATGATGCAACAACAGTATACCTGAAATTTCATCATGAAAATATGTTATTACACAATCAGGTAACCGAACGGACAGATTTTCATAATTAACATTTGTTGCGAAATAATGATCATTACTTACGTAATACGTTTCTCTTTCTTTCTACCTTCTGTTTTCACTCTTCGAGATATAAATTGTATATATATGGCACATGGAAGCTTAAAACATTTAGAAATCGAAAGCACTTTGCTTGTGCTCTAATTTTTTTTCTGCTGTTTTTTTTCTCCTCATATTTATTTCGATTCTATTAGACTAGAATACAAGCGAACTTTAGGTAAGTACAGATTAATTCGCTTATCGAGCAAGTCGCATGTTGAATGCACTAATAGAATCACACAGAGTGAGGTGGTGTAATGTGGAATATGCACGAACAAAACGCCTGTCACTTGCAAATGCTCACTGGCTTGTTAAAATTTTTATGATAATACTAAGATAAGAACGTGTACGAAGAGTTCGATTCCAGTTGAAGTGTTGAAGAGGAATTTTATCATGTTTCGCTTGTATACCGTCTGAGATTAGAAAGAGATGTTCAACTCGTATAAGTTTCAATACAGTAACCGCACTTATTTTACATAACATTCTGCAGAAACTATAAAGTGCTAACACTTAAAGCCAAGACTTTATTGCGCGTTCAGTTCAATTCATTAAACCCATTGTTTTCTTTATGAAAATTTCCACTCTGAGCATTCTTCTGTCAAGGTACTTAGAAGGGCCAAAACGGCCCATTCAGAATTATTTGTATTAAGCTTAAAAGTTCACATCGGAATTCAGATTCGGATCTAGATCTATCTCTAAATTGCTCGTCTTCACGAGCTGAAGTGAACCGCTTAGAGATTAAGATCTCCCAGGCTTTATTACACGTTTGGACCTTGATCTGTTTAGTCATAGATCCAGACTCAGGTCTACCGTCTCTGGTACATTACCGTTTATCGATCGGTTATTTCTTCTTCTGAATTGTACTTGAAAATGTTCTTTTAGGACATCAAAAGAAATGCCAATACCAAAAGTTAATTTTGATCTAAACGATTCTTATCATGACATAAAAACCTTACGTAGTAGTAACACAAACAAACGATATAGACGTTTAAAAAACTTTGAACGTTGTTATTATAAAAAAATATCTGAAGTAACAAAGGTTGGCTATAATTTAACACAAGAACACGATATTAATGATGGAAATCTAAATTTTAAGTTCTTAAACGGTGTTACCTATTCGTTGAATAAGAAAAAACGATGGCTATTGCCGGATTTGATTCAACGACGTATATGTAACAACGAAGACAGTGATAATAACCAAACAAAATTAGTAAAAGGAGATCAAACTAAAACACTTGAGGATCAATTGAAAATTGTTATGTATGAGAATAATAACATCAACTATCGCTCAACATGTTTCCGATATGGTAATAGTAAAATGGAACCACGTCTTATCGAACCAAAACAACATCAATATTTTAACAGTGAAACATTAACAAAGTGGATGAATTTCTTGACTCGAACCCGTGCTAGATTGAGAAAGAGACGACGAAAAAATAATAATAATTCTACGGAAGATAATGTTGATCCAAATATATCCAATTTTGGTAAGTTACAAACATTTTGCTTCGCCCGAAGACGAGCTTGTTTTATATCGATAAACTCAAATTTTCTCAAGAAAACCTTTCTGATTTTATGAATAATGACTTTTTTGTATGTTGATATTGTGTCTTTTCAGGTATCCAACAACGTCCTGGCTTTTTTCAAGCTGAAGTTACCTACAAATTTCTATATCCATATCGACCATCAGTCAAATTTAATTCGGATAATGAAGAAACTCGATGTAATATCGGAACAAAAAGATCTGGTTTAAGAGTTTGTTCAAAATCTCGAATCCCATGTTTAAGTCGTGCTTATAGTCATTCATTCTATAAACCTGTAACAAAAGAAAAAAAAATAGCTATGCTAAATGATATAATTAATAGCGAATTATTATTTGATGTCTATGATGAAGATGATGGATCGCAAAAACTAGATTATACTAAGGATGAAGAAATAATTGAAGGTAAGAATCCAGTCATCGCAATACATGTTTTTCATTAGGCAGAGGAACATTAAATTTTTTATCATTAGAAATGATTGATTATTTTTGATTTAGAATATCTCTCTCACCTGAAAATAGTATTCTTGCTAGAAAAAATCTGATTATGAAAACTTTTAGTTTTTGATCAAATATGCAACAGATCCCTTCTCTGCATGTGAAGTTTTTGATAAAAAAAATATTTTTCAGAAAATGTTTTAGAACTACATCATTCCATAGAGTTTTGCGCGCTGCCTCTGAGTATCATCTAATTCTTTTATTGGAAAAAAACGGATATTACCTAAAAAACTAGGTGATTTTGAAAACCCCGTATCGACGTCCAAGAACAAAACCGCATTTTACAGCATTCATCATAGATAAACGAACATTTTCCAAAATGTTGATGAATTAGTCTAGATTCATAATCTAAATTATTTTTACTTATAACTTGATTAGATAGAATAAAAAATATTTTCATTGTACAGCGCTGTATTTATACGCTAATTTTCACTTAAGTATTTTTCCATGATCCATAATAGCTGGAACAAAACTTCTTACAGCAATAGTTAGTCCATTTCTTACAATATATGTTTTCCTAATTCAATCCCGAAATGACGCACTTTCAATTTTTAGTCAAATGTACACTACACACTGTGTCAACATCTAAGTGGAACTCATTCCAAACGTATATCCAATTTCTTTTTAGATTCATCTATGTCGCTGTGTTATCCTATCAATTCCTTTATTCATAACAAACGTTCACATTCATCAGAAAGTATTGTTACTATGAAATCATTGATTCCTCCAGATTATAAATCAAATAAAGTTTTTGGAATATTACAAGATTCATTAGATCAAGATAATTTAATAGTAGAAAAACAACCCCAACAAATTGTGTATTCATCTTCATTTTCTAAACTTAATCAAATTATTTACGATGAACAAGAATTTTTAAATTATATGATACAACATCATGAATCTATAAAACAAGCAAACATTTATCCACCTACATTTTTACAACAGTTTGATGTTGATGATGAATTGGCACAAATATTTTATATTTATGAGAATACATCATGTGGAATTTATCTTAGAATTGATAATGATTTAAAAATAAAAAATTCTAAACTAATTTCAGATTTAGTCAATCAAATATCATCATCAATAGACTGTTTACCATCGATTATTAGTTCTGTTCAAAATTTTCTTTCATTACTTCATCATAATAACAACTATAACGTTATCACTATTTCGTCAAAAGTTAATACTATGGAAGAAATAATCGGTTCATTAAGGCTACCATTGTCTGTATCATTACAATTTTCAACACTTCGACCAAATTCAATGGAAAAAGAAATTGCTGTTAAATTATTAAAAACTTTAGTCAACGATGAGATATCATGTTTTGATACAAATATTAAGCAAGGAGATGATAACGATTGTTGTTCGATATGTTTAGAATTTTTTAGTCAAAACAATCGTATTTATTGTGTTCTACCGTGTCAACATTTCATATGTGCTGAATGTTTACAAAATTATATTCAAATCTCTGTGCAAACTTTCATGCTTTCATCATCATCACCATCTATTAATATCACTTGCTTTTATTCGAAATGTTTAACAGTACTAAACACTATTACATTAAAACGTTTTCTATCAATACAATTATATAAACGATTATGTGATTACTCAAATGAGAAACGTTTATTTTCATCAGACATCTATCGATATTGTCGATCAAGAAAATGTTTAAAAATAATGATCATTGATAAAGAAAAACGATTTGATGGAGCTATGTGTTTGTGTGGAGAAAGAATTTGTTTAAAATGTTCAGAAGAATGGCATTGGCCAGCTGCATGTGGACAATATAAAAATTATTTAAAACATTTGAAACAAAGTGGTGATCATTTATTAACTTCACATGATTTAATGCAAACAACTAATAGTTATGTTGCAGAAGGTACGTCATAATCATCAAAAATTGAAATATTCGAAAGAAGAGCATAGAATAATATTGAAACAAACGTTAAATATTCAATTTTTACTTTTTTTTGGTCTCTTCGCCTTTCAATCAACGTTTCGAGTTTCACGTTCATCTTTACTTTAGGTAAACATTGTCCGACATGTGGAAGTTTTTGCGAAAAGAATGGTAGGTTCTAATAGATAATTAAAAACGGTTATTTGTATGTTATTTATATCTGTTTTTACAGGCGGTTGTATGCATATGAGATGTATATGTGGTAGCGAGTATTGTTGGACGTGCTTACAATGTTGGCGGAATCATGATTATAGTAAATGTTCACAGACTGACGAATCATCGTACGAACTAAGATCATCTAATCGTAATCGACTTCATAATCTGGCTGTGAAACATCGTCGTGCACGCAATCAATATCATATTCATTCATTTTTAACTCAGATATATTCACCTCATTGCCAAATACCAACAAGAGATGTGCAAGATGTCTACAATCAAATGCTTGCCTTGTACATTGACATTAATACGATAGCCGAATTTTTATACGTTTGTTTACAACAAAAACGTATACAACAGGATATACGATTTGTTTTGGGACAAACGGCTAAAAAATTTGATGCCTATTCATTTCGTTTACGATTGTATGCTGAAGATTATAAGATATTAAATCAAAATATAATTAAGCAAATTCATCAGATACGTTTACAAGTTAATCAATCATTCAAAAATTTAGCATATATGAAATCTTATCATAATTTTTAAAACATTTTTTCTGTTTTCTATTTGTTTTTTCTATGCAAAAGAATTCTCAAGTATTTCTCTTACTTTTGTATACATTGTTTTTTCTCTTTATTATTTTCATTATTTTTGCTACAATTGTTCTTGTAACTGTTTTCCTGTGCATACAGACTAATGTCTATTTTACACATTTTGCTAGTCACATTTTATTTTTACTGTTAACAAGTACAATAGAAAAAGTACGAGTATAGACAAGAAAGGAAAACGGGTTGTTTGGTTTTTATCTACTTTTTTTTCAGTCAAAAAGCATGCACACGTATAGTTTCGAATGCACTAAACAGTTTGCACATCTCATTCTCTTAAAAATGTATTTCCTTCTC